GGGGCTGCGGGGCTGGATCCGCGCTGGGTTGCAGCACCAAGAGCCCTTGGGAAGCCCTTGAACCCTTGAAGAAGATGGGTGTCAGTGCAGGAAGGATCAGGCCCTTCTTCCAGATCTGTTGCTAGAATCCTCGTGGTGCCCATCACCGTGGCCTTGGGGCATGCGGAGCTTCCTCTCTCCTCTCCTTTGCCACCTGGCAAAAAGCATCCTTTTAGCTGGGGACTCGGGCTGGGGACAGGGCACTGACCTCCTCCTCCGCAAGTGGCACTGATGGCCAGCACTGTGAGGACACCCAGGGGACAACAGGCAGGGAGGCTCCTGCTACCCCCAGCTCCAAATAAGCCCCTTCCTGCCACTGTCTCTCAGCACTCCCAACCCTCCTGGCCCCCAGCCCCTTGCGTTGTGTCCCCAAGGTGGCTTCAGAGCCCACCAGGAGCTGGCGTTGGTCTTGGACAGGGGAGCTGGGACATGAGGGGACTCACTGGTTCCATGGGAGCTTGTCCCCATGAGGAAGGACAGACCTCGGGACACATGACAATATGGGAGGGTGCCTGCATGCATGAGATGGTGTTTGCACGTTGGTGGCCACAGGTCACCCCCTCCCTGGGGACGCTTAGATGGGAGACAGGCATTGCCCGAGGCAAGGCTCTGCTGCGGGTGGCCCAAGCTGTCCCCTCTGCTTGGAGGTCAACTGCCAGAGGGACATCAAGGGGAAGGTCCCTGCTGGGGCCAAGGAGGGCACCATGCACGGCTTGTGGGATGCCTAATGTGCCTTCGGTGCCAGGCCATGACACAGCATGGGATGGGATCTCCAAGCTGCCCATCCCCAGAGCCCTGTGCTAGGGACACCCAGCAGCTCCTGGGGCGGGTGGCACAGAGCTGTGGGCAGAGAGAGGCATGGCAGGAGGCACCTCCTTCTCTGGTAGGGTCTGAAGGGCTTAAAGCAGGTAACAAGCTGTCCCAAGGGTCCTCTGGCCATCAGAGACAGATGAGGAGCCAGGCAGACCTTGGTGTCACCCACAGTGGGCGACTCACCTTGTGGCCTCCTGGACAAACACATATGGATGCAACAAAGGTGAAACGGGTGTAGGAAACCCAGGGCATGCTCCTCGCTGCCCTCCCAGCACATGGGAGCTGCTGGCCTGGCTCCTGGCCTTATCCAACCTCTCTCCTGGTCTCCTGTCCTCCTCACACCCATCTCCTGGCCTTATCCAACCTCTCTCCTGCTCTCCTGTCCTCCTCACACCCGTCTCCTGGCCTTATCCAACCTCTGTCCTACTCTCCTGTCCTCCTCACACCCATCTCCTGGCCTTATCCAACCTCTCTCCTGCTCTCCTGTCCTCCTCACACCCGTCTCCTGGCCTTATCCAACCTCTGTCCTACTCTCCTGTCCTCCTCACACCCATCTCCTGGCCTTATCCAACCTCTCTCCTGCTCTCCTGTCCTCCTCACACCCGTCTCCTGGCCTTATCCAACCTCTGTCCTACTCTCCTGTCCTCCTCACACCCATCTCCTGGCCTTATCCAACCTCTCTCCTGCTCTCCTGTCCTCCTCACACCCGTCTCCTGGCCTTATCCAACCTCTGTCCTACTCTCCTGTCCTCCTCACACCCATCTCCTGGCCTTATCCAACCTCTCTCCTGCTCTCCTGTCCTCCTCACACCCGTCTCCTGGCCTTATCCAACCTCTGTCCTACTCTCCTGTCCTCC